CAAAGAACGTTGTACCCAGGTCAAACATACGTGTGTCAATGTGATGGTTCGGAGTTGCTTTGCTGTTTCAGGACCCAGATGTCATACTCAATGTAAGCCTGCAGGCTAATTTATGCTAGAAGAGAAGTGACCAGCTTTTAGTTTCTGATCTAAAGCGAAAGCGCTCTTGGGTCATGCAGCTGGACTATGATCCAAAGCAGACTCCAGCAAGTCCAACTCTGAACCCCACAATTTGGCTGAATAAAAAACAATTATTCAATAAGAATGTGCCAAAGTTTTCCCACATAACCCCAGATTTGTTTGCATCGTTTATCTTTTCTATAATAAATTAAATCATAAGCTGAAAACTGTTATTTACATTTTCTCAGGTTATCTTTGTCTAATTCCTAATATTTGTTTGCACATTCAAAACATGTAGGCGTTGCTAAAACATAAAAACCAGATAAATCTGAAAAGGCTCAGATACTGTATGAGTGACAACACAAAGTAAAGCCTAAGTTACAACAAATTCAGGAAACATGCAATTTTCTAAGAATGCCAATTTATCCCTCGAGACATCATTTCACTTTGACGTAATAATCAGGACACTAAGCAACCTAAATTAACTAAATGGATCAAGGTTGATCCATGGAGGATTATCCTAAAAGATTAAGGAATCTGTTACCAACAGTTTGCTACAACAGATCACAACTGATTTACCCTCATCCTGTCTCAAGTATGCCCTGTGAATTCGCCCAGACACCTGAAAGAGAACCACTTCACCGAATGACCAAACAAAATACTAAAATGGATTAACATATAGCTATGAGTGTATAGAAACAAGCACATACAAAATGCATGTCTTGCTTTCATTAACTTTTTAACAAGGGTCTGCATGTTAACAGTTAACAAAAATCTGAAGCTTATCAGAAACCCAGTTCGATCACTACTAGGTCAAGCTCTGCAAACATTTCACATCAAAGCTAACAAAACATCCTGGGTACAAATTTGAAGGACTTTCTCAATGTATTCAGAAAGCATGCGAAGGAATGACATAAATATTTGTTCCGTAGCTAAAACATTGTTACATTTTTATGTAACTAAATTACAAAGTATTTTTGGATGAGTTCCCAAGTTAGAAAGATGTATTCATGTCACTATGACAAAGACTACTTCCTTTTCCAGACAGAAAAACTTACACTTAACACTGACTCTATGTTATTCTCACTATCAGTTTACTGGGAAGAAATTAGTGACAAAATTATAAATAGACAACTTTTTAGTGAATAAAAAACAACAAACTAGAAATTGTAATAACTGCCCCATGGTTTTTCAGCAGTACACAAACAGAAATGGCAAAGAGAAAGACAGAACATTTTCAACACTTTTAACACAATTTTTAAAATACTCAGAACGTTTCTTTGTTACCTGTTTGTAGGACTGATGAAGGTGAAGGAGATGAGCTGATTCCAAAAGGGGTCGTTTTCAGATATGGACTCTGTGCCCACCAAGATCTTCAGGCTGGAGTTTTCCGACAAATCAGTAACCTGGCTGGTGTTCGCTCCCATATTTCCTGTCTCCTTTCAGCCACACCTGCTGATCTTCAGTCCTTATTTTCTGGGCATGAGCCAAATCCTAGAACAAATGAAGATATTAATGTCTGGTGTGACAAGAAAATGCATCCAATTAGCCCATTTGTTCTTTAATTCCAGTTACACATTTTACAAACTGATTATACTTTGAATGGGCCATTAACTTCACCTATATGCACTTAATACTCAAATATATAAAAACAAAGAAAACCATTTATATGTTACATTTTCCAGTCTGTAACATACAGACCAAAGGTTTTCCCTCTTGATGCCTTACTTAAAACTGCTGATGTAGCATTAGCTTATTTTCCAAGACTTGCAGACAAATGTGAATAAATTAGTTACCAGTATGAAGCTGCACATGCGTACAGTTATAATATAATAAATTAACACTTTGAGAGTCGTTCCTTCCCACTGTTGCCACATGCTTTGTAAATCAATAACCAAATCAGATTGTAATTCTGTGCTAAACATGCGACTGACTAAATAAGTTCAGTGTTTTAAATACAAGCAAAGTTTTTACCAACCGTTCATAACTCGTAGAATACGAGAGAAATGTATTTCTCTGGTCAGCGAGACAACAGATAATGAACTGGTGTCTCTTCTCTGCTACAAACTACAGACTTTTTCTGCTGAACGTCTTTTCCTCTGTCATACAAGTGGTTCTGCAATCCTGCATTGGTCAATATAACTCATAGTGTTCGGAAGTTTGTGATGACCAGAGGAGTGCTATTTGTCAGTTGACTTAAATCCATTTCCTGTTGGTGTTAATTCCTAGCTCACAGAATGAGACGATGCAGTGCTGGGCAATAAAATAAAACTATTTTGAGAATTTAATGAGAAACAGAAAACATCAATAAGAATGATAAGGTTAAGCCTTAAAATTCAAAAAGACAGATAGTAAATGTGGCCCAGCAGGTAGTCCATGGGACCAACATTATCTAAGCATTTTTACAAAATAAAGAAGAGACTGCAAACATCGGCTTGAACTTGATTTGCTTCATTTTCAAACTTCAAATTTATGTATCAATATGTTTCTTATAGAGAACATGTCAATATAAATCTATAAAGTTCAACAATTCTGAAAGGAATTTGGTGTGTAGTTTGTGATATTTTTTCAAAATAAAACAAGTCAATTATTGTTGTTTAATTAATTAATATCTATTTGTTCTTTTAATTCATATTGAAACCGAACCTTTGCTAGAAACTGAGCTTTTAATTTGAAACCATATTGTGATAAGTATCAACAGGATTCTACAAAGAAATCAATAGAGAGAAAATGTTTTTGCATGCGAACTCCATGACTAAATAATATCTCACCAACCGAGGACTTAAATTATATTGCATTGAATTTATTAATAGTCAGAATGGAATATGTGTTTGCATTCAATTCTACAACTGGACTGTAAGAAAACAGAATAGTAACTCAGTCCATACAATCTGTAAAGTAACTTGGGGGACAGAAATCGCAACACATTGGTATTACAACTGTGATTAACAACTCACTGAACGAGAAGACAACTTGGACCACATCTACCTAAATATCAAAAGCTACAATAACTCAAAAAAAAATTTATGTACTCACTGCAGATTTCAAAATCTTCATATGCTCGGTTTACTTTGCAAACACGTCAGCGCAGCGGGTCGTTTAGTCACAGAAGACACTCAACAGGATGGCGTCTTATCAACCAGGACATGAAGATGTCCTTTAATAACACGCCTTTTGCAAACAGGTGCAGTACATCCTGGGTACATAGCAGTGTTCAGCCACCACAATAAACCAAAACCAGACATTGCAAGTAGGTGTATATGAATAAATACACTGGCCAACGTGAAGTTCGCAAAGTATTCAAGCGTTATTTCTGTTCTGAGTCTGGTTAATGTTCTCATTTTTTTGGCTTTAACTGAAGGAATTGAGGTGTGCCTCGACATCTCTGACGCTAGACGAGGGGAACTGGTGTCAAACAGCACCGAGAGAGACGCACCGTGGTCAGTTTATGATTGATGAGAACATTTTACAGCTTGGTTAGTGAATTATTGAGGGAAAAGCTAACGTTCACTGGTTGTTTGCAATCAGCTGACAGCTCAGCTTACCTGTCACAAAAGCTTCTCGCAGTTTCTTTGGTCCCTCTTGGCTTCCAGCGGCGTTAATAACCAAGAGATTCACCGGAAAGAAGCTGTTTTATACCGACTGTTAATCGGGTTTATTTCAAAAGAGGAGAACACTTGAAAGAACAAAGTCGTTTACACTGCTAGCCTAACTCTACGTACCCCTTTCCTCCATGTTTTCCACGTCGCCACCCATTGCGTAATGACGAAACGAGAGCGAGAATCTCTGCGTGAGTGACGTCGTCCGCTCGTGAACCGGTGCAGGTCTATTTAACGAATTATTCTGCATTTAAGATTTAAGCGTGTCAACATTTCTTCAATATAACATAAACAAATCAAATTCTTTTTTTTAACGTTTTTAATTTGTTCTACACGTAATGCAATGCAAAGCGTATATCTATTTTGAAGCAAACTTAATGCCTTGCAAATGTGCAAAACCCTAAATGTATTGACAGAGATCACTCAAAATTCAATCTTAAGCATTTTTGAATGAGTCATTCGCAGATGATTTTATGCATGTGGAAGGAGGAAGATTATCTGGTTAGATGACGCCATGATGTAACATTTAGGCCTTCCTGCAAAATGCTGTGTATAAAGCCCTGAACAAAATGTCCCCACAATAATACACACTAATATCATCTTGCAGAAAGGCTTTTCTTCATTTTCAGTCATTTATCAGTAGATGTTCACATGCAGCAGAACTTAAGAGTGAAAGACAGGTCTGCAAAGAGGGAACAATAGAAATGAAAATCTCTACATTTTGATGATGGAAAATAAAACCTGTAAATTTTTCTTTTGTCATGCATTACTTTGGTCTGTCACGTAGAGTCCAATAAGATAATTTTAAGTTGCACTTTACACATATTTTCACTAAAAGTAATCAACTATACCATAATACCATAGTTGCATCGCTGATACATTGATATAACAATGATGGAATGTATCAATACACCAATGATCAATTTTATCATTGGTGTATCAGTCTTCAATGATACAATAATACATAAGTTTATTAGTAGATTGAACTGAAAAGTTTTCACAATAACATCTTAAAATAGAATATATCATTTTGCAGGAAAGGCAATAATTGTGATTTATGACAATGATGTCTAACTGGAGGAAACCAAGTCAGTCATTGCTTTTATAAATTGTTATTTAAATTCAAATCAAAAAGTACAACTGTATATTTCTTTTTAATAACTATGAACAGTTACCAACAACAAAACTTTACAATCTGGTTCTTCTATTATTTTAACCACTTGTTCAGAAAATATATTTATCAAAATCTCCTAATTAGCTTTTTTTTTTTTTAAGAATTTGCATCAAATATTGTCACCAAACTGCAATGCAGATTTTTTTGTACTGAATGACAAATCAGCTTTTATTACTAGACTGGATTCATATCTTATTTGTAAGAAAAATTTATGCTCAAAGTAGGTTTAAAGGAATGAATATATGCCATATGAACAACTTTCATTTTCTTCACACTTTGAAAATGGTCAATCGACTACAACCAGTTAAAAAAAGAGGATCGATCTTTCGCCAGTTTTATGAGTAGTATCACTACAATAATCATTTTATTTGTATAAACAAATCTATGCTGAGATGTCTTTGCAGCAATTTCTGCAGAAAGAGTAGTTAAAGTGGCAAGTCAGGCTTGAAATAAATATGCATTTACTTGAAAGCTTTCTTTCATCCTTAGTTTCATTAAAGTGCTTTAATCTGTTTCATTCAAACAGCAATAAAAAAACAATACACAATAAAGCTATCTCAGCCAAATGAAAGAAAAAAAACAAGCTTTGAAGAAGACTTAATGTTTCCTCTAAATGATACTATAGGAATATTTTATTAATTGAAAGTAGTGGCAGCACTCAGTCCGTCTTCTTATCAGCTGCTATAGTAGCTCCATTTGCAGTCATCTCACCGTTGCTTTGGGGCTGAAACATAGAAATTTGTTTTTTGTAAGTGAGGCAGATAATAAATATAGCACAAGGTTAATTTTACACCTTAAAATAGTTCACTAAATGCCTTACCTTGTAAGTCTCATTGCTATTTTCACTTCCTTTCTGATCAGTGTTTGTGTCTGTTACAGCTTTTTTGTTCCAGAACGCATAAATAAAGGGTGAAATAATAGGATAGATGATGGGTTCCAGGAACCTTTTATAGACCCACAACAGGACAGGGATCACAATGCAGGGTATGCACACCATGGTTGTAGTTAATACAGGTCGACGAGACAAAGAACCTTAGGAGAAAAGGACAAAATGTACAAATTACTAACTTGATATTCAATTAAGTATTTCACCAATTTAAATTGAGTAAGGTTTAGGTAGTACTATATTTTGCGGATTATAAGTCGCATGTACCATAAAATGCATAATAAAGAAGAAAAATACGTATATAAGTCGCACAGGAGTATAAGTCGCATTTTTTGAGGGAAATTTATGTGATAAAATCCAACACCAAGAACAGACATGTCATCTTGAAAGGCAATAAAAATAGAATAGAGGCAACAACAGGCTGAATAATTGTACGGTATGCTACCGTTACATGAAAAACAATTAAATGAGAACGTTCCTGGTATGTTAACATAACATATTAAGAGTTATTCAGATAACTATAGTATAAATAACATGCTAACAAGTTTACCAAACCATTCGTGTCACTCCAAATCACTAAACACAAAATATTCGTCCTCGATGTCGCTTGTAAACAACTATGCTAACTCCGAAGGGAAGAATAACACAAGTCTAGAGCGCCCTCTTGCGGTTTAGTGTGAAAATAACATGTGATATGATATAATAATGTGATAATTTTCACCTATAAGTCGCTCCGGAGTATAAGTTGCACCCACGGCCAAACTATGAAAAAACACTGCGACTTATAGTCTGAAAAATACGATAATTTAAATGGACAAGATTAACTTTTTTCCACACATCCTCATGTCTTTGAAGGAGAAAAGTTGAAATGCTTCTCTTTCATATAATAGAGAAAAGCATATTATGAATTGGGTTGAAAAGTTAATATCATCTGGTGGAATAACACTCCTGATTTTCTGGCATAGATTTACAATGGAGTTGTGCCTCTGGTTTTTAATGGTCTTTCATAATCCAGTGTATACATTTATATAAAACTGCCAGCCTAATTTCAGGAGAGCAAAACTTTTTTTTTCTTTTTTTTTTACAAAGATTTCTTAAAAGACAGACATTTCTAAACCTGTAACACAATGACAGATTACAACAATGGGTGATCTTTCATTGTTCTGAGAAGATGTTATATATAAGATGCATTTTACTCATACAGTGAGCTCCAGTTCTACATAGTTTAATTAAATGTCATTGTCCCATCTGTAAAGGTAGACAAAATATCCAACTCCTCCGTCAGTGGATAACAAAATGAGACAAGTTATCTTTCTTTAATCAGCATTTTTCCCCCACTTCCGATAAAGACATAACATTTTTATGTGAAAAGCCAGTTGGATGACATTCCAAAGCTTTTCGATATATTAAGTAACCTACACTGGTCAAAATGTACTCTCAGACTACATGCTGCTTATTTTCACAGAGCTTCATCACATTTTTAGAAGGCAGTTTTCAGTACATAGTCAAGTCTGTATTTGTTAAATGTTAATGATGAAGGTAGAATTGCAACAAATTTGCTTAGTGACTAGCTCATCCCCTAAATAGGCAGTGGTTAAGCAGACGAGTTAATATCTAAGCCATTACAAGTCATTTTTCCGCTCAACATTAGATAACACGACTTGGGTCCGTTTGCTATATTACATTTATTTTTTAGTTCACAACAAAACATTTTAAAGATAACTTATGTAACTGTGTTATGTGTATATAGGACTTATCATGGGGTTTAATAAGGATTTAGATTCATAATAGTCTGTTTAACGTAACTCACGCTGGTAAAAAGTAGCAGAAACGTCGCCGGTGGCTAGGCAACGTTAGCTTCCGGGGTTAACTCTGGTTAACGAGAGACATTAAAAGGCTAAAGGCTCCCAAAGATTCCCTTCTAATTGAAAGTAAAAACTCTTACCTGGATAAGTCAAATACTAAAACACGAGTGTTGTCACGTACTGACAGCTAGGCAAGCGCGAATATCTGTAAATTTGTCGCGACTGAGCGAAATTTCTGGAACGTGATGTTCGAACACCAATCCTACTTCCGTTAGCGGTGGATGACGAAAGCGGAAACTATTTACCAGCGGGCACGTTGGGATTTCTTCAAAACATTTGTTGTTTTTCTGCTGACTTCTAGCTTTGTGAGTGACTGATGATTGCTTTTAAGGTTTACATGTAATATATTTCGCAGAATATAATGCCTAATAATTAATGTCGCAGCGGTGTTTTGTTTTTGAATTGCTAACCAGTGACATATTTAATGACTAAGAATGCTAGCTAGCAAATGGGAAATAAAAATTTCATTGGGTGTGATACACCTTTCCTCCAAAATCTAGTACGACCCATCATGTTTATCTGTCGCAGTTAAGCATGCATTTTGCAGTAATATGTACCATTTAATTCACCTGTTCATTAAGCTGAATATTTTCTTGTTTTTATTGAAATCCCAACATTCATATGTAGCCTTTTCGAACTTAAATAAAACTGCATATTTGTACAGTCACATTTCTCGAGTACTATGACCTCAAAACAGAACCTGAACCATATTTCTCTATAAATGTTTATTAGTCTATTAAAGAAATAAGCTTTGATGCATCAATAATCTTCATAGTCTTGTACTTATTTCATTTTCAGTTGGGTTTCAAAATATTGCTTATATCAAAGAATCCGCAGCCTATTTTTCTGTTTGATTGAAAAATTTAAATCAACTGGTCAGACTTAAGAACCAGAAATTGTAAAAAAAAAACAAAAAAAAAAACAAATCGGTGTGTCTCCACTACAGTTTTTTTGTTTTTTTATCGAGGAGAATTACGCAGGAAGGAAATGTCCAGGAAACATAGAACTGAAAATAACCAAAAATTATGATACCAATCACAAAGGCTGACAATATATGAGATCATGTGGTCTATTGTACATTCCTATTGCAAGTGATGACAAATATAAATTTATATTGTGTTTTTTTTTGTTTGTTTTCCAGTCCCATAATGCCACTGTCCACACAATCTCAAAGTCAAGATGAACAGTATGTTCTGGTAGCCAATTTGGATAATGCTCGCAATCTCTCCAATATCCTGAAAGCCATCACCTGCAAGGACCACGCTGTCTTCACAGCAACAGCAAATGGCCTGAAGGTCACAGTGGAGGACTGCAAATGCATGCAAGCCAACGCTTTCATTCAGGTCATTTATTTATATCAAGCACTTAGAGAACCAAGTTTTTCTGTGTTTATATTTGAAATATTCACTCTTTCTTTTTAAATTCTTTCAGACAGATATTTTTCAAGAGTTCACATTAAAAGAAGATATTGTTATTTTTCAAATTAATCTTACTGTTCTGCTCGACTGCCTGAATATCTTTGGAGGAAGCACAGCAGCAGGTAAAAACTGAAAGAAACATAACTGGAAAATGAAACAAAGCTAAATTTATGACCCCAATTTTACACGTTTTATTTAAGTTTTTTTTTACCTCATGCCTTGTATGATGTTTCAGGAGCATCAACAGCTCTACGACTGTGCTACATGGGGTATGGTCATCCTCTGACATTGTTCCTGGAGGAGGGTGGTGTAGTGACCGTCTGCAAAATTAACACACAAGAACCAGAAGAACCAATTGATTTTGAGTTCTCCAGCTCCAACGTCACAAACAAGGTTCATCTTGTTTTTGTTCTTCAAATAACAGCATTTCTTGGCTCCTCTTAGAACATATTTGAGTAAGTTTTTGTTTCTGTCTCTTTTGAAAGGTCATTCTTCAGTCAGAGAGTCTAAAGGAAGCCTTTTCTGAACTGGACATGAGCAGCGAGGTGCTGCAGATCACCATGTCCCCCAGCCAGCCGTACTTCAGGTGGGCTGTCTGAAGTTTTTAAAGTGTTCCATGGTTAATGGTAGTGCAGTAAAAATGAAAAAAAAAGAAAAAACTTTCCAATAATTCCCATTTCAACTGTTGAGGCAAGTACAGTACTGCAATGTAAAATCTATCGCTAATTTATCAGGAATTATACTGTAGTGAAATTTTGTTCCCTGTATTATGTGTACTCCCCTATGCAATAACCTCAATATTGTTTCTCCCTATTATCTTTAAAAAGTGTTATTTTTCATTTCAACTCTGCAGGTTGTCCACATTTGGAAACTCTGGAAATGCTCATTATGATTACTCCAAGGACTCAGATATGATGGAGCTTTTTCAGTGCAACAAGACACAAACCAACAGGTGAGTGAAGTCATCAGTGGAAATGCTCATTCATCAAAGAAAAGCAAGAGGTAATAAAAAAAAAAATAAGCTAACAGTCACCTTTGCTTTTTAAAGTATTGGATACTGGTCTGGGTAATAATTTTAAGTAGGGCCAATGAATGCTCAACATTTGGACCACAAGGATATTTTTGAAGCAAATTGAAGCAGTTAGTGAAACTTGTTTACATAAGTTCAACAATTAAAAATACATTTTTGCATTTTTATCATTTTAATTATAGCATTTTTTGAACAAAGGTCCACAGTTCACCCATTTTCTACGGCAGTAACATAAGAGGTTGTTCATTGTTTTTACCACCAGAGGTCACTAGATTCCACAAATTCAAATTAGACCATTGCCTTAGACCATTTTATTTCATTCAGGCACTTATAAAACTAGAAACTAAATGATCTGCAGTCATTATAGTTTGATTATTCTCACCCTGGATCCCTCAACGGCATATTACAGCTTCTGATTTCCTCCTTCGACAGATACAAGATGTCCTTACTAAAGCCGTCCACCAAAGCCTTGGCTATATCCTGTAAAGTCTCAGTGAGGACAGACAGTAGGGGCCTTCTTTCTCTACAGTACCTGGTGAGGAACGACGAAGGACAGATCTGCTTTGTGGAATATTTCTGTTGTCCTGATGAAGAGGTAGAGGAGGAATAACAGCGGATTCGTTGTGGCTCTAAGCTCAAGCTCAGCTGGGACAAATGACTTTATTTGATCACACAGCCATAAAATGTTGATCAGGCAATAGAAAAGCTATGGTATTCTTAGTTCTAGCCTTCTTGAAAGACTGAAAATGTCAACTGTTGAAATTCATATTTCTCATTTTCATAAATAAAATTGCGTTAATTCAGTGTTGAATTAACACAATTTTAGCACAATTAACTTGTTCATATTTCTGTTTTTTGACACATGGAAGATCGTCCTGTCATGTATCTGTATGTAGTTTTGCCAAAATCAAACTCAAAAGTTCTGGGTTGAGTAAATTCCATTTGTTTAATGTGTTAATATGGAAATGTTTATGCAAGTAATCACAAGTATCTGTTCATGATGATTCTTTGTACAGCAAATGTTTGACTCGTCTGACACTAAACAGTGAAATGAGTACACTGAGGAAAAAAAAAAAATTTTGCGGTACACATTCAAAGTACACCAGAAAATGATTATTTTTATACAAAACAATTTATATCAAGCTGGGTTTATTTAACAACATGCCATTTTATTAAAAAGGACTGTAAATACTTAAGGTGTGTTGTAAAATAAAGATTTGTACATGGCCAATTAGTTTCCGCACATTTCACTGAGCACAATACGACATCAAGAAGAGAAAAAAAATAGGATTGTGACTGAAGCAAATCATCTGCGTCTCCGCTGCATCCTCTCCCTCTTGAAAGCTTTGTGTTTGTTCTTCTTCACCACTTTTGGTGCAGGTGGCTCCGTCTGAATGTGAACAGGTTTCCGTTCATCTGGTGTAACAAAGACGTCAGCCGTCACGTCGTCATCGATCTCCTCCTTTGCATCTTTCCTCTTTATTTTCTGAATCTCTTTCACCATCTGCTTCTCTTTGACTTTGGCTGCGGCTGCCAGGCGGATCTCCCGTCTGTGCTGTGGGTGCATGGGAGAAAAATGCAGTATTACAACAATGGCTACAGCCAGGACTTCAGTCCCCAAAAATGTATGCGCAACATAAAAAGATATACTTCCTGTTCAAAAGCAGCAATCTGACTTATCACACATGCATCCAGAGCTTTTTGATTCATTCTGATCTCACTAAAAATTATTTAGCAACTGAGTAGTTCTGTGACTGTAAAAATAAGAAAGAAACTTGATTAAATATGAGTTTTTACCATGTTTGGAGATCGGAAGTTCGGATTTTCATATAGCGTGGGCCCTCCAAAACTTCCCTGGAAGATCTTTATGAGGTTTAGAACAAATCGTGGGCCGATCTCCACCAGAGAGGCATCCTCTTCAATTATCTGACAGTGGAAAACAAGAGGAATTATTATAAATGTAAATCAAAGCCAGAGAAAAATAAACACTCTGCCTTTTGTGAAAGTGTCCACTAAAGACGTGCTTTTACAGTGTAAAACTTGAGAATATATGAAGAAAGATCACCTGGTAGTTTCTAAACCATATTCTGTTGTCTGCGATGGAGAAAGTGTAGACGTGGTCCACAAAAGGCTGACTCTTAGGATGGTAGTGAGGCGTGGAAAATGTCTACAAGAAAACTTAAAGATCATTTCTTTGAAATTGAAAAGAATTCTCCAAACAACAAAAACAAACACTGAAAATACATGCATGGATAAAAGCTAAGTGCTTAGCATTTCAATTATCTAGCACAGTAGTTCTTAGCCTTTTTTGAGGTACCAAACCCACCAGTTTCATATGTGCATTCACTGAACCCTTCTTTTTCTTTCCAAATTCAAGACGTAGGTATATACTTTTTTTTTTTTTTACTGGTGCACAAAATGAGTCATGCATGAACATCACCTTGCTCACAGAACAAAACCAACACAGTGCATGAACTCACAACAAATTACAGTATTACTTTATTCTGGCCCAAAAAATATTTTGACCCTATAAAAAAATTTCAGCCCCCCTTTATATATATATATTTTGCTATTTTACTAATTAAAAATAAATTTGTGTTTTTTTAAAGAACTTAAAATGGAAAAATTTGCAAACCAATGTATAGAACTAAGTCTGGAAACACATTTATTTTCTTTTTCTACCTTTCAAATGCTAAATTCCACTCTGTATTAGACATTTTCACTGTTGGGGAAATTTCTTTTCAAGCTTTAACAACAAAAAACATACCTGGATGAAGAGTTCCTTCAGTAAAGCGTACTGGGGCTCTTTGTCAAATTTCTATTAAAAGGAAACAAAAAGATGGTTTTAGACTTCATCAGCCAAAGCTCTGCTCACTATTCAGATCATGGAGCACAAAACAAAGGCAAAATATCTCCATGTTACTTTTATTTTCATTGGGTAAATCAGCATGTTTTCCCTTTGTGACACTCACTGGATCAAACGAGAGCAAGGGTCTGGATCCTTTCAAGCAGTTTCCTGTCATTTTGAGCTCAGCCAAAGTATGAACTGGGAGGGAAGCAATAACATTTATCAAGTATCTGCAACACCACAAATATCGTTTGCATCTAAGAGCTGAAGGAGAGAAACAACCCACTGTTCTGAACCAGAAACTTTGCAGAAGGTCCATGCGGGCAGTTGGAGATCCTACAAAAAGAAATAGAGTTAATTCAGCATAAATATATATTTGGTTTTCAGTGATAATGAAGCTTAAAAGTTTGAAAAAGTACCACAGACAGAAACCCTCACCACATGTAGAGGTCCTGCTTCTTCTTTGCCTCGAAAAAGAGGCACTTGTTGCAATTTTTGATTTCACACACCTGGAAAGCACACAGACATCAGGCTATGCTGTGAAATGAGAGGAATTCTGCTCTTCACAGACTTACCTCATTAACAACAAACAGCTTGTCCTTCCTGTCCATTTTGGTATCTGGCACAGAACGTTGTGGAAGTTAATGTTGGCTCATCATACATTCAGGCATTGACATCATTAGACAACTCCGAAGGCCTCAACACTGACCTGCTTTTGAGTGAGGCATCATGGTCCTCAGGTCTTGCATCAGGTGTCTGGTTCTGAAGTTGATTCCTCTTGAAGAGAAGATAAGAACTCTTTCCTTGTTGGTCCATTTGCCCTGTTTAGAAAAGATTATCCCACAATATCAAATTAGTTGCACGAAAAGCCAATGGACACGGAGTGCCACTGGCAACTTTAAAATAATGCTCATTGAAAACTAAGACTGAAAACTGCATGTCTGTTTACAGTCTGCATGACATAGCAACTAATTATTCAGCTAATGGAAATTATATTTGTGTTACCAGGTGAAGTCCAGAACCAAATAATAAAGTACAATATTCTGCATATTATAAAGAACCAAAACAAAAACTAAATACATTGAGGTATATTAATGCATTTAAGATACATTAATATTTTTATTAAGTGATAAAAATATTGTAAACCTAGTCGTTACGTTTCCATTTAAAATGCGTTTCTTGAAAATGGTTGTTTAAATTCTGTGACAGTAATTTCTGATATTTTATCTACATTTTCAAAAATCATAAATATCTAAACTACTAGCAATTAGACACAACCAAAGACAAATTGGAATTCTGGTAGGCTCATTTCAAGATTAGACTTTCCATCATTAGTTTTATTTCATTTGATCATAATTTTCATTGTAAATATTCAAACTAACTGGTTGTCTTTGAAAAATCAGCCACTATGACAGTAGTAATGAAAATGGCTGCATGCAATGCAATAAAGTACGTTTTTATTCCATCAATAATACATCTATGCACCATCAAAGATCTGTTTTGGAAATCATATAAGGCATTTTTACAAAGAATTAAACTCAGAATTTGGCCTTAACAATGTTAAAACTCAGTGTCTTTCCATTGTGAAGAAGTTTAATTTGTGAAAGCAGCTGACGATTTGTGCATTCAAATAAAAATTTCTCAATGTAATCCTATTGCCAAATGTATATCATATGTCATTGATAACAATTTCACTCACTGCCAAAATTCATGGCGATTGAAGAAATCTAAAACCCCCCCGCATTTTTAATCGCTTGTTTTTTGTATTTCAGTCATTTTTCACAACTTTGTTTTACTAAACAACTTCTTTCCACTAGAAACACTTGTTGTTATGTTTCTAGTGGTTTATTAAACACTGAATTCTTCTATTAGTAGCATTAATCACCTTCTTTCACAAATAAAAATGGATTCTACGTGAGAGCCGGTGCTAGCTTAATGGCTAATAACAAGGCTAATCACTTACCATAGAAACCGGTGCTGGAACAGTAACTTCATTTTTTGTCTCCTGCTCGGTTTCGAGCTGAGTTTCGCCTTTATCTGGAACAAATTTACCCTTTTTTCCCTTTTTGTCCGAGGCTCCATCTCCTCCACGTTTTCTTTTGGACGCAGCCATGCTTGTACAAGACTTTCTTCTTCTACTACTTTTTGTAAATGGTGGTCGACAAACAACGTAACGGAGCAGTACCGCCACCACCTGGCTCGTCCAAGACATGGGACTGGCAAAAAAAAGCAAATATAGTGTGAATCACCGACAGTCAGTTCACACTTGGAGCGAAGATGTCTGCACTAAGACTTTTAAATATGTAAACACTTTGGAGCATTTAAACAACATTCAGTAACAACATCCAGTCTTTATATTTTGACTTTATAGCTCAGGAGATCATTACAAGGATGGTTTTAGATTATAATTGAGCGTCTGTAGAAATATCTTATTTTAAGCTTACAGAGACTTATTTTAAGCTTACAGAGACAAATTGACCCAACAAGTTCTAATAATGGATATACTATTTTTGTGTGTTTTGTCCTTTTTCTACATTCATCTTTTATTTCCCATTAAATACAAATATATTTAGGTGCCCAGATCCAAAGTGAATACTATTCACAAGGGATTCGGCAAGGGATCAAAAGATTTATTATCTTCCATTTAAAAAAAAAAAAAGAAGAAACATTTGATTAACTGAAGCAGTTGCCACTCTTGCAGTGATTCATACCCCTTGATTTTTTGCTGGTTGAAACCTTTTGGGGATTTTAAAGGTATAGTTGTTCCGACCTTTCCTTTGGTGGCATGGTGTGAAATCTCATGTTAAAGATCCAGATTCAATTGTACAGTTTGAGTGTCGCTCAAATCAGTTCCGCAAGAATCCGCTAGATGTCACTATGAACACAGACACAGAACGCGGGTTTCATTTACACGGAGTATGATCTTCCTCTCTCTCTCTCTCTCTCTCTCTCTCTCTCTCTATATATATATATATATATATATATATATATATATATATATATATATATATATATATATATATATATATATATATATATATATATATATATATATATATATATATATATATATATATATATATATATATATATATTTCAGATATAGATATGTCTGAAAAATGTTTGAAAAATGTTGACAGTAAGAAGCATTTGAAATGTGTGAAAAATTTAAACTAAATCAAAGTAAAGGGGGGGGGGGCGATGTGTATTTGCATATCATTGCTCTGGATAGTAAAAACATGCTATTAGGGGCA